GAACCATTCAACCTTCATCTCAAACCAAACCAACCACTCAAAAGGACCCTGTAATCACATCTCACTGATAGAGATAAACTAGGTATTCTGAGGTCAAAGGTTTCCTGCAAACAGACCCTCCTACCCCTCATAGGTGTGTTCTTAACTCGCAGACGAGGTACGACATCCTATGCGGGTTCAACGTCACAGACTTTCAAGAGCGATGATACGATACCCAGAAGGTGTGGCATCATCATCCCTTGAAGCGGCCTCACTTAGTTGAATCCCAATTGATAGGTTCCCAGAGTCGACAATCCTCGGGTCAGACAACTTGTCGAGCCCTAAGGGCCAGGCAAGAAGCATCAAAGAGAATCTCGTCCGAGTGAGATTTCGCGGCTAGCTGGTGCGAGCTAAGCAAGCAGGCTAACCACTACTCTCTCTCTAAATCTATATGTGTACTCAAGCCCGGGTTTGGCTTATCTCTCAACAGATTACCCCCTCATACCCACAGCAATAATCACAATAAAATAATGCTGAAAGTAAATGACTGAAAAGTAAATCCATACAACACCCCTGACGGGAAAACAAGCGCTAGGATTAACTCTCTTAAGGGACGTTGAAGGGAAAGGATACGCTCGAAGTAAACCTACCGCAAAGACGGGAAAGGAATGGTCATCGCAACCAAATCCTGGATTCGGGAGTCGGTTACGCAAGGGGAAGGTATTAGCACCCCTCACGTCCGTCGTACTCGACGGGATCCACGCTTGTTTTCTGGTACAGATTGTTATTCTATCTATTCTACAGGTCCGGGGTTAAAAGAAAATAAAATGACTCGGTAAAGTATCGCACTTTATGCCTACGTATTCCCGTCTGAAACGAGAAATCAGAGTCAACGTAGTTCGCCTACCTACGGGAAAGGAGGGGAAGGTTGCTCGCTAGGATATCGCATTCTATACCTACGTACTTTCATACAGCATGAAAGATCAGAGCAAACGTAGTTCGGGCTACGGAAGACACAAGTTTGTCTGGCAGTTTTTATCTCCTTCCGAAAAGGTTTTCCTGATTAAGGGTCCAAGAGGACAAAAATGACATTTTGATTGGTTTTCAGTCTTTTTACGTAAGAAGTGTTTTTTAGTGTGTTTGCAATCTCTGACGCACTAGAGACTATGATTTGAGAGTGACTACGTCGTATGTCACCCTAAGGGTAACACACTAAGCAATCAGATTACTGAAGAGTGACCCTCCAGCAACCTTTTCTCAAATAGCTTAAGGCTCGTAACGTACGACATCGATTAACCTTATTACCGTATTTTTGAATTGTTCTGAGATAAGAAGAGAAAGAAACTCTAAAAAGCCTATGGTTGAAAAGGGAATCAAAACTACCCTAATGTTGTCATGCATGGATGAAAGCCTAACGTCTATCATATTTCTCTCTTGCGCAGAGAGAAACAGAGATCCTAGGGGATAAACGGCAAAAGAAACATATACATACAGTGAAGCAGTAAAGTGCATGAATGCAACAGGAAACAACAGGCAAAGTGAAACAGCTTCACTTCAAACCTAAGGGGAAGATTAACAAATAGTACAATCAAAGAAAATAAAACCCCAAAGCAGAGGAGGCAACCCAAACAGCAGCACCAAACTCCTACAGCAAACAGCACAAGCAATAGCTCTGACAGCAACAGTTGATTTACCAGCAAAAAGTTGACAGCAACAACCTTCATCTTCATGAATAACTCCTATCTTCAAGTTTCAATAAACTTTCAATCTTCAATGGACACCAACTTCAACAAGCTCCCAGCTTAAGCAAGCTCAAACCCCAACCAGTAACTAGCTTCAACAAGCTCCTGACTTCAACTTCAACAAGCAGTAAAACCCTAGCTTCAACAAGATACCTCATCTTTTCCTTTACCAAGCTTCAACAAGCACCTCCAAGGGAGAATTATTCAATAAGATCAAGTTATAATGTTAAGAGACTTAATGACAACCAAGGGAAATCACTAAGGACTTAACATTGCAAATGAAAGGTATCCTCAAAGTTCTACTCACTTGGGCATACCACTCATACCTCCTAAGGAGAGATGGAGCTTCCCAAGGAGGACTTTATGTCATTGGATAGAATGGAGATGGACAAGATATTCCATGTTTGAAGCAAGAAGCAAAACTAGTCTAATGCTCTTCCTAAAACCCTAGTTTCCCTAAGCTCCTGACAAAAGCTCCACAAGACGAAAAGCAATCAACTCCAAGCTCCAATCCTTAATCCCAAGCATCTTCAATGAATCCAGAAGCTCCAACAAAAAGAACTCAAGCTCCAATCAAATCCAAGGCAGCCAACCAAGCCAAACAAACCAAAGCACTCAAGAGGGGAAATCATAAACACAAGCCACTTGCAAAATACAACTAACATAGAAAACAAAGTTGTAAAAATCTAATAAAATTCCTAAGGGAACATACATGTCTACCCTAACACATACTAAAAAATCAAAGCCAAATTCATCACCAATTGGAAGACCAAAATTCAACAAAACAGAGGGAAGAATTACGAAAGAAGAAGAGAAAACAAGCAATATGCAAATGTAAGCGTGCGAGTGGAAAATGCACACAAGATCATGATTAAACAGCCAAGAACAGTGACAAACATCCAAAATAATTCAATCCTAATGCAACACAATGATCTATGATGATTCGGATCGAACCGACACGCGAACAAGCAAGCAAAACAGCAAAACAAGCCCTCTGTTACAGTGTTAATCGATTAACGCCAGGGGTTAATCGGTTAACCATTGAAAAACGCTTGAAAATTTGAATATTTGAGTTGGTTAATCGATTAGCCATATAAGTTAATCGATTAACCATATAGGTTAATCGATTAACACTGTGCCAGAGGTGAAAAACAACAGTTCAGAATCACTTTTCAGCAGCTTATCACTTAAGCAAACACTCCAATTATCATGTGATTGATCATGCACAAAATTAAACCAACAAACACTGATTTAAACAACATGTAAACACCATAACACAACAAGATCATGGATCAAAATCAACATAATCAATCAAATGCAAAGATCCACATGCAAATTGTGCAAATAAGTTCGAAAACAAAATCGGATCATAATTCCAACCTTCGGATCGGAGACTTGATCCGGTAATTGTTGATTCAATTGTAGATGAGTAGATCTAAGCAAAGAAAACCAGAATTCTTCAAGATCCACACCAATTCTTGTAATAGCAATGTAGATCCACCAAGAACAACTCAAAATAAGCCAAATAATCACTTCCAAGAACACTTCAAAATTCAGATCTGCTTGTGCACGAAAATTGGATGATGAAATGGAATTGATGGAGTGAATTAATGGAGGTTTAGCTCTTAGAAATCAATGATTCCAATGAAGAATCAATGATCTCAAGGAGAAGAGCTTTGGGTGAGGTTTTTGAGATTGGAAAATTGAGAGAAAATTGAGAGAAAATTGAGAGCAATTCTGAAATGAGAGTGAATTATGAGGATTCTTCTTGTGAGGTTTGAAGTGAATCAAATATATACACTCTTGGTTTGGATCCAAAGCAAGGATTGGAAAATGGCTTGGAAAATGTGGTATGGAATGAGGTTTGGGCATTTGGAGGGAAAATGAAATTTGATAATGTTCTAGATCCTTCCCAAGTGTGAAAATGCAATTTAAATGACCAAAATTGGACCCCAAAAGTGGCTGGACTTGAAAATTCACGTGCAAGGCAAAACCTGTTGTGGTTAATCGATTAACCATATAGGTTAACCGATTAACACTGTTAAAAATTCAAATCTGGACTGATTTTCAAATGGTTAATCGATTAACCCTATGTGTTAATCGATTAACACATTCAAAAATTTGAATTTGGCGCCTCTTGGAGGGAAATCTGCCCCTTTGCCCGTTTCCTGCCGTTCTGAACTCTGTTTAGCTGTTGAAAGTCATTCTTGATTGTTCTGACCCTGGGAACACTGTACATAACCTGAATGCTGCTTTTGACATGAAAAATGCCTTGCAAAATAAAATAGAATCGGTCGCTCGATTGCTGGGCAAAACAAGTGTTGAAGCCTCTGATGTTTGTTGTTTAGCCTCTTGCACTGAAATTTGCACCTGGAGCCACCCGAATGCCTTGATCCCCTGCCTCGAGAATAAATGCTATGCAATGCAAATGCTAGAACAATGCAAATGAAACATAAACCAAGTAAAGAAGAGGTTGGGCAAATTTTAGGGTGCAACACCCTCAAACAAGAAAATGTATAAATATGGAAACTTCTCGCCATTTGGATAGGAGAATTTATGGAGGAAATCGACTTTTAAATTTCCAAAAACCGTCCTAAAATCATCCCAAGCGCTGCTAATGCGACTACTAAGCTATTTCTTTGTAAAGTTCCTACTGAGATGGAAAATTCCCCGATAAAACTGCTAGTACCAGGTGAACTCATACTGAGATGGAGATTCGGCATGGTGCTCACTAACCCTCCGTAATATCTAACAAGTTGAGTCTTATGTCGGTTATATAGAACACCAACACATAGAAAAATGGCTGAAGGAACCAGTCCATGACTTAATATCGGTGGAATGCTACCTCTAATTTTCTGTATGTTTGATAGAGCCAAAGATTCCCTCCTCACTGATCGAAGCTTTTGAACGGGCCTAAACAAGGTGGAATTTCTACTTTGTTATCCATATTTATAAAGATGAGAAATTTTTTTTTGGTCAACTGAAAAGTTCTATTAATTAAAAAAAAAAAATATAAACAAATATTATAAATTAAGTTGATTTGTAATCGTGATTGTCATATTATAATATGATATTATAGTATCTCCTTTTGATATTATTATTTTGTTGGAATTTAGTTTTGGGCCAAAATCTAGTAGTTGAGCCCAACTAAAAGTTAAACCCTAGTAATATTCTATAAACCCTAATCTCTTTCACTCTTCCACCGCTTCTCTTCAATTTTATTTCACCACCGCTTCTCTTCAATTTTATTTCAAAGTTGAAAGAAGTTATCATAATCTCATGGCGTCTGAAAATTCCAAACCAGAGGTCGCGTTAGAGAGTTCTAAGGTAGAAACAATAAGCAAAGCCGTAGATTCACTTCTCAAATGGCACAAATCGCGTTTGGAAACCGAAAAACCTAAACTTTTCGAAGATGAAGAATTCGTCTATCTCGTATTAACCCTAAAGAAGATTCCTTCCAATGGCCGCGTTAACCCTCACAAGATTCCCATCCCTCACCCCCTTCTCTCCCCTTCATCGGAGCAATGTCTCATCATCGACGACAGAGCCAACAAGCCTGCTCGTCTCACCAAAGACGAAGCTCAGAAGAAGATTCAGTCGGAGTCTATTCCTATCGCGAAGGTTCTCAAGCTCTCGAAGCTTACTACGGATTATCGTCCGTTTGAGGCGAAGCGTAAGCTGTGTAATTCGTATGATCTGTTTTTTGCTGATAAAACTATTGTGCCTTTGCTGCCGAGATTGCTTGGGAAGCAGTTTTTTAAGAAGAGGAAGCTTCCGGTGCAGGTGGATTTGAAGAAGAAGAATTGGAAGGAGCAGATTGAGAGAGCGTGTTCTTCGGCGCTGTTGTTTTTGAGGACTGGGACTTGTAGTGTTCTGAAAGTGGCGAAGTTGAGTATGGAGAGGGATGAGATTGTTGAGAATGTGGTTGCAGCGATGGAGGGGGTTGTGGAGGTTTTTCCGAAGAAATGGGGGGTTGTTAGGTCTTTTCATGTCAAGTTGTTGGAGTCTGTTGCGTTGCCTGTTTATCAGGCTGTTCCTGATGTTAGGTTGAAGATTGAGGGGGTTAGGGATTTGGAGGCTGCATTGGAGAAGGATGAGAAGAAGGTTCGTGATGGGAAAGACGGGAAGAAGAGTAAAAAGGGGAGGATTCATGAGATTAAGTATATGGATGATAGAATGAGCGAGGATGGTGATGTTCGTAGTGATGTTGATGTCGGCGTTGATGATATTGATGATGATGCCGTTGGCGGCGGTGATAAGGTAGATGATAATCACGAGGTTGGTGAGATTGAAAGTGGAGGGCTGGGGAGTAAGAAGAGGAAGAAAGGAGATAAAGGAAAGAAAGAGGCATTGAGTGAGTTGGGCAGTGTGAAATCGTTGAAGGGTTCTGCTAAGAGGAAGAAGAAAGATTTGTTGGAGACTGTGAATGCTGCGGAAGAAGAAGGTTCCATCAAGAAGGGTAGTGAAAAGAGAAAGATATTGTCTGCGAAAGACGAGGGTTCGGACAAGAAGAAGAAAAAAGGGTCGGTTGTGAAAGCTGCTACTGAAGATTTGATCAAGAAGAGTGAGGATAAAGTATCGATTGAGGATGTGGGTTCGGACAAGAAGAAGAAAAGAGGGTTGGCTGTGAAAGCTGCCACTGAAGATTTGATCAAGAAGAGCAAGGATAAATTATTCACCAAGGACGCTTCTTCAGACAAGAAGACAAGGAGAGCCGATGTGAAGGTAAAGGGTAGGAAAAGTAAGAATGCTGCTGTATGAACCTACTCTTGATGTTGGAACAATTTTGTTGTTACAATTTATTGCTTGCTGTGGCTCTGTGCAATCATGTGTTGTGTTGCCTGATGAGTTCTCTGGCAGATTTTGTTTTCTGAGAAATTATGGTATTTAATGTTTTTTTTGTTTTTGGTTATAATCTTGTTTATTGATTCAAAAGTACTCTGTTTAAGCTTTAGAATGGTTCCCTATAGGCACAAAAGAAAGCAAAATATTGTTTCTCATTTCAGTGATATTAAGTTATTTAGATACCTATTGTCTTTTGTTGCATACATGTTAGAAAGATGTTTGATTTCAGTTCTTCATTTCTTGAATGCTAATTTTGTGTACCACTGTGCACCAATTGTTCACATTTAAGATACTTAATTTTACACCACAATAAGGGTAGAAAGATGTGTTTAAAATCAGTCTTCAATTCAAAATTGTGACAATAATTTGGTTGTGTATATTAGAAGTAGAAAGGCTTATGTGTTTGTAGTACTCAGAACTTGCGATATCATTTATTGCTAGTTGAAAATCATTATTTGATTCACTACATGTTGATATCATCTGTTCAATTAAAACATACTAGTCATCACTCTAAAACTACCACAAGTTGGAAAATTAACTAAAAAGTTAAAACCGTCCATACTTGTAGATCAATTAATACATGCTACTTTCTTTTCATTGTCTTTCTTCTGTGGTGCATGGGTATGGAAAGGGTATCAAGACAATTGGTAGCAGCTGTATAGGGACATCTTCGAACCTGCAACATCTCATATGTTCATATGTTCACTTTTAAAAATGCAAATTTGACAACAACAAAAAATTGTATTTAAGATATTAGAAGATACTACCAAACTATTCATCTAGCTTGTTGTCTGTTGCAATATCCTTTTTTTCCCTCTTGGTTGGGTACACGATACTTGAGAAATGGAGTGATTTTATGATGCTTGATGCGATTTCATCAAGACTTTGTTAAATTAGGTATTAGAAATAGTGATGCATTATAAACTTTAAGCAATACACTCACTATATGTTTGCATGATGTTTTCAATCTAGTTGCTTCTCATGTCCGGGTTCTCAATTTTGCTACAACCTTATGAAATCTTGCCAGAATTCATTACACGAAGCCTTTTATATGTTTCACTCTACCGATCACTTGATGTTCAATAAAAGTTTCATCACTTTTTACATTTCTTTCATTCATTATAACCGAGTTTGATCTGTATAACAATGGCGAGAGCTCTTAGCTCATCTGCTATTAGTTAGTGAATCCGTTATCTACTATTTCTGTGAAAATATGCACTGAATTTACTTTCATCTTGAATGAATTCATTAGTTCTTCATAGATGTTAAACTGTTTGTACTATAGCAAAGGTAATACTATTTACTTTTATTTTCTTATAACTTTCATTCTATATCAAATAAGATATAAGACGTGACCAATTAGCTCAATGCATTCTGAATATTCTAGTTTGGTGTTAACCTATGCCACGAGGTATATTCCTTTAAACATAATCTCAATCTATAATTCACTTACGAAGAATCCTTAAAAGAATTTTTGACCAGTCAAATATGTTTGTCTGCACATGTTTATTATATGTTACTAGTATTTTCTCTTTTACTAGAATTTGAACAAAATAGTTTAACTTCACGAACTAAAATAATTTTGACTGGGCTCTAGTAAAAGACAATTCATAACTCACTGGTCCAAGAAGCATCACAAAGGGGCACTAGATATTTAGGAAGACATGGCCTGCACCCATTGTGCCCATGCCCATGAGGCGGGACGCTAGACCCATTGCTTCCCCTACTAACGAGGAGAGCTGGTCTTCATGTTTCTACTAGTGGGTAGAATCCATCACTATCCATATGCTCCAGTGAAGGAGTGATTTTTAGGTGTGGCAAAACAGATATGGTCTGCGAGACTGGTCTGTTTTGCCTGCATTTTTTTCACAGGGCAAACAAATGATTTATTTTTTTACAGGACAAACAGATGATTTATGCACGCCTTCCAACATGCTTGCTTTGTCCCACTTTTTTGGTCTTTTGCATACGCTTGCATCAACATAAGTTTTTGTATTTTTTAGACTTTAGAAATGCTGTGTCAGCATGTCTGACCCAACCCGCTATCATTTTTTGCGTGGTAATCTAAAGTTTTAGGTCCACACCCTTAACTATGATATATTCTATTTTATTTTTTATGGGCTTTTCTAAGGCGGGGCAAATGGGGGCGAGACATGCTTGTCTACCACCCTTACCAATTTTTCACGCAACAATTTGGCCCACGAGTGAGGACTAACAATATCCTAACCCTTAAGATTTTGAGAAAATCATTCACTAATTCGGTACATCAAATGTCCAAACTCTCTTACATTCTCCCACATAAGAGGATTCACCATCTTCATCGTATTTTTACAAGTACGATTGACGTTTGCAATGGAGTCTCGAGCCTCTCGCTTAGAAGTCTGTCTCATCCATTTTGTAAAATCATGGTGCGGGTGGAATGTTATATCAAATGAGAATAGAACACTGCATATAAGAAGACTAGAGACTTCTAAGAGTGGACCTTTAGTAGATCTGATTCATTACAATAACAATACATAAGTCACTACACCTCGCTCATGAGAAATAATGCGACTTTCAAACGCACTGGGAGGCCCACAAATGAATTCACGCCCCTCAACACTCATCGAGAGTAGACATGGCATGAAGTTTTTCATACCCATGGCATTCTGCATTAGTCAACTCCTTATTCCAAAACCATGGTCCCCGAGTTCAATAGTGGTGTAACTACCATAAGATAAATGGTCATAACTTTGACAGCTACTACCAACACAATTACCAGCCCAAGGGAGAGATTGAGTTGCTTATTCAAAAGGCCACTTGAAAAAACTGCATAAGGAAAAACTCTTAGCAAGTAGGAGAAAGGTCTAGAACTCAGGGGTGAGATCAACTCAGAAGCCTTTGTCTTGTAAAAACAAAGATTCAGCGAGAAGAAAAGAGGGCATGTTAGCCCCACACACTCTCAATACATAACATGAAACTTTTTTGGGGCAGAAAATCAAATTCCTTGCACATAAAATATGTCCATCAAGTCATGGCGGTGAAAATCATGTTCGAAGAAATGGTAGGAGTATGCCAACAACCGAATATACTTTGAGTGAGTTGAGGGAATTTTCTCCATGCACATTGAAATTCCGAAGCTTTTTTTTTAGTTAACAACTTCACATTAAATTTATTTCATTGTTTCTTTTGTTGCGTACCTGTTTATCATGAATTCTAATGTTTATTATGTTGGAACACACAAATCAATTAAGGTGAATTAATAGAGAATTATGGTAATTTGGAGAAGATGAAGTTAAGAATTGAGAGAGAAAAATAGAGAGATAAGAGAGAGAGAGAGAGAGAGAGAGAGAGAGTAATTGAGGGTGAGAATGAAAATTGGTATTAACAATAATTGGGAGCACTAAAGGCCTTTTATACATCAGTTAGAAAATAATGGGAAAAGCAAAACAACTTAAAAATAAGCTGAAAACTAAAAAACCTACAGTGGTAATCGGTTACCATAATCTGGGTAATCGGTTACACCTAGTTGAAAATGCCATTGCCTCTAAAAAACGACCATGTAACCACCGATTAGCATAAACAGGATAACTGGTTACATGAACAAAAATGAAAAAAAAACAACTTTTCAACACACCACCTCATTTTAGTTGGTCCAAGTCCAGCATGCTCAAGATCATCTTCAACCTCTTGAACACCTCATTTGTTACCCCGTTGGTCAACAAATCTGTTACTTGGTATTCGCTTCGACAATACCCCAATCGTAACTTGCCTTCAATCACTATCTCCCTCAAATAATGAAACCACATCTCTATGTGCTTGCTCATTCCATGTGCAATTGGATTATTCGTAAGATTGATTGCAGAAACATTATCAACAAGAAGTGTAGTAGCCCCACCCTCATTGCTACCCAACTCCTTCAATAGATTCCTGAGTCATATGGCTTAACATGCACACAACGAAGCAGCAATGTACTCGGTCTCACAAGACGAGAGTGCTATCACCGATTTCTTCTTTGAACACCAAGAGATCGGTGTCCTACCAAACATAAAGATGTATCCGGCTGCTCACTTTCTATCATCCTTATCACCACATCAATTGGAATCGGTGAAACCAAGTAAATTACATTTTTGGCTCGTATCACTGCCGGAAAGAGAATTCCATAGCCAAGAGTTCCTTTAACATATATAAGGATTCTCTTGACCGCTGCCAAGTGAGACACCTTAGGTATCTCCATGAATCTACTAGCAGTACCAACACTAAATACCAAGTCCGGTCGCATATTGCACAAGTATTGCAATGATCCAATCAAACTCCTATATTGTGTTGGATCCACATCTTGCTCATTCTCACTCGTGGACAACTGCAATCTTGCTTCACATGGTGTAATGGCCGTATTACTTTGCTCTATTTCACACCTATTCAAGATCTCAAGAGCATATCTTCTTTGATGCACGAGCAGTCCCGTTTTTGACCTTTGGAACTTTACACTGAGGAAATACGTCATAATGCCAAGGTCCGTCATCTCAAACTCATCCATAAGCTCACTCTTGAACTTAGAGATACTCTTCTCACAACTACCAGTAATCAATAGATCATCCACATACAAGCAAAGGATGATCACACCATCATTTGAATCTGATCTCACATAAACTCCGTGTTCGGACACACATCGCTTGAAACCAATGTCAATAAGAAAGCCATCAATGCGTTTGTTCCAAGTTCTTGGAGCTTGTTTCAAACCATATAATGCTTTATTCAATTTGTAGTACTTAATTTCTTGATTCTTTACCACAAATTCGGGGAGCTACTCAACAAAACCTCTTCATCAAGTGGACCATTCAAAAAGGCATATTTGACGTCCATTTGAAATATTTTCTAATCATTGTTATTTACAATGCCAACAACTAATCGGATGATTTCAAGTCTAGCTGTAA